TTTCGGAAATATGTTATTCTGAAATATGAATCCTAATACAGGTGTGATTCCATACATTATCTCACTGAGCCCTCTGTCTTCCTCACAATGCTTGGTTTCTTCATACAGATGAAGAAACCATAAAACCTGTATGTCCTGGGTCAGCTCAGACTTCATGGCCTCTGTGGTAACCATGAGACTGTCTCAGTAAATTAAAGGCCCAACACAAGAGCCAGAACATACCTTGTTCAGGTCTCTCCAAGGGAGTGGGAAGGCATAAATCCATTAGGGAAGATCAGAAACATGTGGGGTTTTTTGGTTCTGTTTGCTTTTTCCCATGGATATTTGTTTTTAATGTGTCCATGACTGCATCACATTATTTCTCCCCTGTTGACAAATCCCGCTTAATGCAGGAAAATACTACTTCTCTGTTACAAGGAATATCTCTCCTCTCGAAAAGAGAGTAAAACAGACCATCATATGTGTATGCAAACATTGCTCTGACAACTGACAAATGCATGCTGGACTTCCTTCGCCTCCACCTGACAATACTGAACATGTACCGAATACCAGAGACCCTTTGATGTCAAAGCATGTAAACCTGGAACGTTTTTGCTCCAGATCAAGCAATGCACACTGCAGGGGCAACTCCTGAAGAAGCTTTTCAACCAGCTGCCTGCAGTAAAATCAGCATGGCAGGATTTAATTTCAGTGATCAAACAGATGGTATTGGAGATCTCAGAAAATGCCTGGAGCACAAGTGACTGGCCAAGTTTATTGGAGTAGAACTGATTACTGAGGATGATTACTTGAGATTCAGTATTCAAACCCAGTAGCATTAATGAAATCCTCATTTGCTGTAGAATTAGAGTCACATGCCAATGAAAGAGCTTTCACTTATGCACTAGGATTCAATATTGCAACAGAACATGTTGTTAAGGTTATGTATTACACAACATACATATTGTACCTGACTGGAAGGGAGAGACTACCATGAAAGGGAGAGAACACACTTGTCACAATTCCTTCCTTTACTCTGTGACCCAATATGTTATTGTGCCATATGAATGCTATTGTAGGTGACTCCATATTTCATGTTTGATTACAAATGGCCACAACTTCCAAGCAGCCGGCGCCCTAAGCCTTTTTCACAATGCTTAGTTTCTTCATACAGATAGCACACCTTTCACAGTTTCTTGACACCACTACATAAAGAGACGTGTTTCAATACGGCTGGAAATTAGACATCGAAAAAGTGCAGCAGACAGGATTCCAGGTGCTTCTCCAGAGAGGTGACTGAATTAAAGGCAATTTAGGCTTACCAGGAATGTAAGTAAAAACTTTTGTTTTTAGAATCCTAAAGTGTAGAGTTCGGAGGGGACCCAGGCGTCGTCTAGTTAACCCCTTGCAATGCAGGAATCTCAACAAACGATCCCTGCTTACTTTTGCAAATGTGCTAGTACTTGTGTTATTTGTAAGTTTCTGTGATAGCATCTCTCCCTTTGTGCGTGTTTGTGCATTCATGCATAAAAACCATGTATGATCTTTTTTAAAAATAATAATAATTGCATTTTCAAAAACAGGAACAGAGAGCATGTTTAACCCCCTCCCCTCCCCCTGTTACAACTTTGTACCAAATACAGCCTGTATATGTATACCATATGACTTCCCTTCCACACTTTTCCTGGTTCGTTTGCTTTTCTACTACTCCATGTAACCTACATCTTTTTAAGCATGCAATTTGTTATCAATTAAATACTCTATTTCAACTCGGCTGGATTTACTTGGGACCTGCTAAAATCCTTAGCCACTCACTTTTGTAAATATCTGGGAATAAGGTTTACCGTCTCCCCTTCCTCATATATATAATAATAATAATAATAATAATAATAATAATAATAATAATTTATTATTTATACCCCGCCCATCTGGCTGGGTCCCCCCAGCCACTCTGGGCGGCTTCCAACAAAACACTAAAATACAATAACGTATTAAACATTAAAAGCTTCCCTAAACAGGGCTGTCTTTAGATGTCTTCTAAAAGTTTGGTAGTTATTTTTCTCTTTGACATCTGGTGGGAGGGCGTTCCACAGGGCGGGCGCCACTACCGAGTAGGCCCTCTGCCTGGTTCCCTGTAACTTGGCTTCTCACAGTGAGGGAGCTGCTAGAAGGCCTTTGGCGCTGGACCTCAGTGTCTGGGCAGAACGATGGAGGTGGAGATGCTCCTTCAGGTATACAGGACCGAGGCTGTTTAGGGCTTTAAAGGTCAGCATCAACACTTTGAATTGTGCTCGGAAACGTACTGGGAGCCAGTGTAGGTCTTTCAAGTGTTATATGATCTCGGCGGCCGCTCCCAGTCACCAGTCTAGCTGCCACATTCTGGATTAATTGTAGGCTCCCAGGTCACCTTCAAAGGTAGACCCACATAGAGCACATTGCAGTAGTCCAAGCTAGAGATAACCAGAGCATGCACCACTCTGGCGAGATAGTTCACGGGGGGGGGCACTAGGGGGCGCATTGGAAGATGGCTGACAATAACATCTCTCCGACCCACACGAGGTAATTTGGAGGCTATGATGGGGGTAATTAGCCTCCTTAACCCCCCCAGGATTGTGGGGGGGACGGCCCTTGCCTGCTGTGCCCTATACCACCCCCGAATTTGTGGGGGTGGGGGCACTAGGCACAAAGCCCTCCTGTGGGATTTCGGCACTCCTGGACGCCGTCCCTGATTCGCGCCACTAGATGCAAGAACTTCAAAAGAAACAATTTGGATGAAAGGAATGCACATATTTCAAGAAAGAAGGGGGAGTAAAGACTGCTAACAGAAGAGATCTCTGACAAAACAAGATAAGAATAAAACATGAGAAGATACGCCAAGACAAGGTATGGCAAATGACTGATGGGGGAGGGGGAAAAAACTCTCCCTTCTTTTCCTATGTGATTAAACAAGAATCCCCTCCCCTCACGAGTCAGAAATGTCGTTTTAAGGACTTAAGCTGTGGATTTAAGGCTGTGTGGAGATAAACTTTCGAACCAAAGCACGTTTTAAGAAGAGTGTGGAATGTGTAAGAGCTTTGGAATGACGCAGTTAAAAATGCCGTCGCCATATTGGGAAGTTCTGTCGGAGGTCTTGAGTCTGGGAGGAGAAAGAGAGAAATAGAGCTGTTTATATATTGTGGGTTAAACTCCTCAGTGGGACTTAAGAGCGACAGTTTTACGAGACTATGATGGAAAGAGTGATGTTATCTATGAAGGAGATGATATATGGAAACCATCTCGATTTGAGGATTGGAAGAACGGAAAATTCACACAGGACTATTATTACTATTGGTGTTTATCGGCTTAAGGAGACTATCAGAAGAGATCATGAAGAAAAAAGAGAAAATATATGAACAAGATGTGATGTGGAAACAGTAAGATAAGATGGGATAGAATTATGAACTCTGTTTGGACTGATTTGGACTGATTGGGACATTAACGCAGCAGTAAGAAGATGATCAGAATTCCCCTTCGGATCTTGAAATATGGGTCCCCCCAACAAAATTTAAAATTCGGCTTTGTAATTCGGAATTTATGTGATATGATTTAATTTGATGTGATTGGCCAGTTAATAAAAATTATTTAAAAAAAGGAAAGAGATAGTCCGCGGGCAGGTAGGGTTTGCAGTTCAATTTTTCTCCCCAGATTTTACCAGATCCGGAGTGGACTCCCTTTTTTCACTCCCAGACTCTTTTGCAAAGATTCCCCACTAATTCTTTGAATTCTATCTTCTTATTTGGATTTAATTTGGGAAGTTTTGTCACTCCGGTGAGAGTCTTAGAGGCTGTGTGGCAATGAGCTGATCTCTCCCTCTAGTGCCATGGCCCATTATCCAAATTGTGACAGCCCAAACTCTTCAGAGCTCACACTGCCCCAAAGTGGAGCTTGTATAAGGCACCGCTGGAGATTCAACAAGCTTTTCCCTTTTCTTGCGAGGAATCCTATTCGGAATAAGGGAATTTTCCTTTAAAAAAGGGAAACCTTGACAGCTATGGCTGGGTGTTGTGGCATGGTTCCCAATAACCGAAGTGGAAAGAATGTCTAGAGGCAGTGATAACAGGGTTTGGCCTTCAGCATCTGCTATTACCTGGCAGCAGAGCTGCAATCCCACTTTGCAGTGTATCCCAAAATGCTTCCAAACTTCAGCTCACCATTCTCCCCACCCTCCTCGTTGGGTGTTGTGTTTGTGCTGCAGAAGTTCAGTCAAGCGGTTAGGTTCAATGTAGAAAACAACCGTGTAGCAGAGAGAGCTTTTACTTCAGGGGCAAAAACACACACACTATATATACACATTCTTTGCAATTGTTAGAAGAAGTCTTCACTCTCTGAAGACAAGAGGGCGTTTCAGATTATAAAGTAAGTGCTGACACAAACTCCACACAGCAAGTGCAAAGTCTAGTGGCTAACAAAGTCCTGCAACTGCCATTTCTGCTGACTCATGGAAAAGTAACTCCTTTTCCACTTTCCTTAACACTTTAGCCATGAAATGAAACCAGCTTGCTTTACAACAAAGAACATGATGATCGTACATTACTAATTTTGTAGATCTCAGCGATGAATGCTGGGGGGAAAAATATGACTGCTTGGCTAGTTACAGTGGGGAAAACTAGATTTCATGTAATCATGAATGCTCTGGGTTGACAGTTCAAACTGATGTACTGCATTTTCTGTTTTACAGGTAAACAGTGGGGGGAAAGATACCATCACAACTGAGGCGAATTTCACTTGATATATTTATTTCATTGGCATACACTTCAGCTCTTCTCATCTCTTGGCATACACTTGCTTCAGATCAGGAAACAATGAGCTGGATTACTCAAATGCTGGAAAACTGGATTAGTGTTACTTATTTGGAAGAATGCCTGAACTCTGTGGTTCACCCTCTGTGGTTATTTATCATTCCCATTTTGCTTTATTCTTTATGGTTTTTTTTATATATATTTTACTGTGCTGTCTCATTTCTGTTATATATCCACAAGAAGATGAATAACCAGCAAGAAAATGATTTTTATAGCAAATTTTGGGACAAGACAAGGCATGTTATAGTTAAAGTATTAGATACATATGGAAAGATATGGCATGGTGAGTAAAGGTTTCTTTCAGACCAATAATTCAGTCTTATCAGCTCCTATACTTTCATAGGACTGAGCATCAGAATTTCAGACTTGAAACACTGGAACAATAGTTGCCACAGTGCATCAGGAGTGTAGCTCTGAACCCACCTCAGTGTCATAAGAGCTACAAGTTTTGGTTGGCTTTGTAAGGATCAAAACAAAGGCATGGATATTTATATATGTAATAAGCCATCCTAAGGAAAAACAAAATATTTTATGAGGTACGTACAAAATCAAGACGTATTACAGAAGAAAGGGTGAGTTGGTGGCTGCATAAACACCATACATTTTAATCATATTTAACCCCCCCCCCCGAAACCTGGAGAATGTTGCTAACACTTCACAGAGCTACAATTAGCAAAGCCCTTTAAAAATAGCTTCATGGATTGTCGCAAGAGAAATGTGTTGTGGGTACACAGCCAATGTGATTAATATAACATTGTATAGGGAGACCTTGAGCGTGCAATTTTCCTGACCATGATAAACCACAAGGCAGCTCTGAAACATAAACTATGGTATTTGCCAGCACAGGTTGTGTTAATGGCTACTACTTTAGATGGACACTGCGGGAAACAGGACAGTGGGCTATAGAGGCCTTTGGCTTCATCAACAGGATTCTTCTTATATCCTCCCAGAAGACTGCTAAAAACCCTCCAAGTACAGTGGTGCCCCGCAAGACGAATGCCTCGCAAGACGGAAAACTCGCTAGACGAAAGGGTTTTCCATTTTTTGAGCTGCTTCGCAAGACGAATTTCCCTATGGGCTTGCTTCGCAAGACGAAAACGTCTTGCAAGTTTGTTTCCTTTTTCGTAAAACCGTTAATACCCAGGGTGCATTGCTTGAAGAGGTGCAGTTGCGACTTGACTTCGAGGAGCAACACATTGCACACGGTGTGGTAGCCTTTTCTGAGGTTTTTGAGGACTTTGCTGATTTTTGAAGCTTTTCCAAAACTTCTTTTGCAGCTGTTTGGTAAGTTAAACTTTTAAAACTTTTTTGGGGGTTTTTGGATTTTGGGTTGGGGTGTTTGGAATTCAAGGACTTGGTGTTGGGGAGAGGTTTGCAAGAATCTGGGAGCTTGTGTGGTTTTTTTCTGCATTTTTATGATTTTTTGTGACCATTGGGGCACTCTGCTGTTTTTTTTAAAAAAAATTCTGGGTTTGAATTTCTGTGTGGTGGCTGGCTGGGGGAACAGTTGAGGAGGGGGTTGCAAGAATCTGGGAGCTTGTGTGGGTTTTTTTGATTTTTTTTTATTTTCTGTGACCATTGGGCGATGTTGTTTTTCAAAAAAAATTTCTGAGTTTGAATTTCTGTGTGGTGGGTGGCTGGGGGGACAGTTGAGGAGGGGTTTGCAAGAATCTGGGAACTTGTGTGGGTTTTTTTGATTTTTTTTTATTTTCTGTGACCATTGGGCCATGTTGTTTTTTTTCAAAAAAAATTTCTGAGTTTGAATTTCTGTGTGGTGGGTGGCTGGGGGAGCAGTTGGGGAGGGGTTTGCAACAGTTGGGAAGGGGTTTGCAATTTCTGTGTGGTGGGTGGGTGGGTGGCTGGGGGAACAGTTGAGGTTTTTGAAGACTTTGGTGATTTTTAAAGCTTTTCCAAAACTTCTTTTGCAGCCATTTGAGGATTTTGAAGACTTTGGTGATTTGCAGCCATTTCGTAAGTTAAGTTAAACTTTTAAAACTTTTTTGGGGGTTTTTGGATTTTGGGTTGGGTGCTTGGAATTCAAGGACTTGGTTCTGGGTTTGAATTCCTGTGTGGTGGGTGGCTGGGTGCTTTTGAATTTTTTGGGTCTGAATCATTGATTTTTTTTTCTTCTGAGTTTACGAAGCTAGGAGCTGTGCTGCCATGGGACCCAAGAAGACTGCTGCTGCAGAGGCCGGCGAGAGGAAGAAGGAGAAGGTGACGCTGGAAATTAAGAAGGAGGTCATCCGGAAGCACGACGGTGGAATGCGTGTGACAGACCTCGCCAGGGAGTACGGCAGGAACCCATCGACCATCGGCACCATCCTGAAGATGAGGGAGAAGATCCTTGCGACTGATGCAGCCAAGGGAGTCACCAGGATCGTGAAGAACCGCCCAGCTGTTCTGGAGGAGGTCGAGAAGTTGCTGCTCATCTGGTTAGAAGAGAAGCAGCGTGCAGGGGACACAGTGACTGAGGCCGTCATTTGTGAGAAGGCCAAGGCCTTGCACGCAGACCTCATCCGGGAACAGCCAGGAACCTCAGACGAGCTAGAAGTCTTCAAGGCAAGCAGAGGTTGGTTTGACCGGTTCAAGACGAGATCTGGAATCCACAGCGTGGTCAGGCATGGAGAGGCTGCCAGTTCTGATGTTCCTGCGGCTGAAGACTTTGCCTTGGAGTTCCTGGAGGTTGTGAAGACGGAGGGCTACGTTCCACAGCCGGTCTTCAACTGCGATGAGACCGGGCTGTTTTGGAAGAGGATGCCCAAAAGGACTTTCATCACTCAGGAGGAGGCCAAGTTGCCTGGCCACAAGCCCATGAAGGACCGTCTGACCCTGCTCTTCTGTGCCAACGCAAGCGGCGACCTGAAGATCAAGCCCCTGCTGGTGTACCACTCGGAGAACCCACGGGCCTTCAAGAAACACAAGGTCGACAAGGAGCAGCTGAGTGTCATGTGGCGATCCAACAGCAAGGCTTGGGTCACACGTGTGCTGTTTGTGGACTGGGTCAATCTTGCTTTTGGCCCTGCTATCAAACAGTACCTGCTGGACAACGACCTGCCGCTGAAGGCTTTGCTTCTGATGGACAATGCTCCTGCTCATCCTAAAGGCCTTGAGGAGGACTTGTTGGAGGAGTTCAGCTTCATCAACATCATGTTCCTGCCGCCTAACACCACGCCACTGCTCCAGCCGATGGATCAGCAGGTCATCGCCAATTTCAAAAACTCTAGACCAAGGAGCTTTTCAGGCGATGCTTCGAGGTGACTGATTGCACCACCATCACCCTGCGGGAATTCTGGAAGGACCACTTCGACATCGTCACCTGCTTGAAGATGATCACCACGGCCTGGAAAGGGATCAGCCAGAGAAATTTGAATTGTGCTTGGCGCAGCCTGTGGCCGGACTGTGTGGCACCAAGTGACTCTGATGCACCAGAGTCAACAGTGGTGCAGGACATTGTTGCCTTGGGGAGGACCATGGGCCTGGAGGTCACAGAGGAGGACGTCAGCGAGCTGGTGGAGGAGCACGACCACGAGCTGACCACCCAGGAGCTGGTCGAACTGCAGGCAGAGGCTGCGCAGGAGCAGGCCTCGCTGGAAGAGGAGGAAGCAACTGAGGAACGGCTGTCCTCCAAAGAACTGAGGGACATTTGCCTGAAGTGGAAGGATATGCAGGCTTTTGCAGAGCGGAACCACCCTGACAAGCACGTGACACGTGACCTTGCGAACACTTTTGATACGAGGGTCATGTCGTCTTTCAGGGAGGTGCTGAAAAGGCGGATGAAGCAGCAGACCATGGACAGGTTCTTAAGCAAGAAGCAAAGAGTGGAAGAAGAACCTTCTTCAAGTGGTCCCCCAGAGTCTTAGAAAATGTAATGTACACTTTGTTGATTTTTAAATGTTTTTCCTGCCATGTTTAGAAACTTAATTTATTGTTCCTTCAATTTTTGAAATGCTCTTTACAGTATGTGTGACTTTAAAGAGCACTTAATAAACTCTTGTTGTACCAAATTTGGCTTTGTTCGGACTTTTTTTGACCATAGGAACGCATTAATTGGATTTCAATGCATTCCTATGGGATTTCGTGCTTCGCAAGACAAAAAATTCGCTAGACGAAAAAACTCGCGGAACGAATTAATTTCGTCTTGCGAGGCACCACTGTATTCCTATTCTCCAGGGACAGTCCCAGATTTACCTACACCATCCTGGTAAGGTTTCTGATTTGATCCTGGAATGCCCTGCTTTTCCTCAGGATGTTTCTATTTTCATCAAAGAAATGTCAGAGGATAGGGAGTTAGGCAGCCAAGTATACAAAAGTTTTTTAACGTTTAATATTTTTATATATGTTGTAAGCCACCCAGAGTGTCTGAGGCAACCCAGTCTGATGGGTGGGGTATAAAGAATACAATTATTATTGTTATATTATTATTGTTACTACAGTATTATTTATTATTATTATTATTATTATTATTAAATTGATGTGCTTATTTTCATTTGAGAAATGTTGGAGGGTATTTTGATGTTGCTTTAGGAGTTGAAGCATAAATCAGAAATACACTACTAAAACTAAGCCTGGGCCTAGCTCTTCCCCAAAGTAGCGCTCTGTACAGAAGGATAATACTGCCCTTCAAATAAATAAATAAAAGTCTCCAAAACATTTAGTTTGATATCATGTTAAACCATCTCAAAGGGTCAAACACACATAAAGTAGATTAAAAAAGCAAAATAACTGAAAGACTGGGCAAAAATGTTTCCATCTGCGTCCAAAAGGAAGCAAGGAATGAATATTCCAGGAGAGAAGTCCCCTCCTGCCCCTTTAGTTCTGCGACCACCAAAGAGAAAGTCCTGTTCCTCTTGGATGCTCTCCTGGCATCCAGAATGCTGGAACACATAGCAGAGCTTTGTACCTGATCTTAAATTTCATTTTCCCCCCTTCCAAAACACACTGTTTTCTTCCAATAAAATATTGTGATATTTTATTTACCATTCAACAACATAATATTTATTTGTTGCCATTTCTATTATTTTCAGGTTATGAAGTTATTGGCTTGGAACATCTCCCTCAAGGACCAGGGATTGTTATTTTTTATCACTCAGTTTCCCTTCTCGGCTATTCTTTCTTTGCGGGCAAAGCTTATAAAGAGAAAGGAAGACTGTGCCATACAGTAGTTCATCACTTATTGTATAATCTTCCAGGTAAATTATTTAAATTAAAATTGTGCTTTTTTGCTTAAAACATGTGCCAAATATGACATGAAACAATGCTATTAAATATAAAACAATGCTGTAGAATACAAAAACAGTGTATCTGGCAAAAACCCACAGATAAATAAAATAGCAGCAACAGGTGAAACAGTAAATTAGTGGAGAGGTTCTTTCTCACCAAGTCCCTGCAAGTAAGACAGAATGTAGGATGAATAATTATTTCCAATTCATTTCTTTCTTTCTTAAATTTGTATACTGTCCTTCATCCGAAGATCCCAGGGTGTTTCTCAACACAAACTACACCTTAAGGAAGACTCAGGGCATAGTATTGAAATGAAAATGAAATGAAATATTGTGGACAAAAGGTTATATTTTTAAAAATATAGCAGCCTAAAGGATCTGTAAATTAAATTAAACTAGCCAAACCAATATACAGTTAGTCAGGAGGAAACAGGTCACTCCACTTTTATGGCCATGTTTACAGACAGCATTCCCTCAGAGTAAAGGACTGGAAGAAATATGTCCTCCTTGTTCCTAGAATCGTGGGCACATGACTTGACGAGCACAAACCAGTACGTTAGATATAGCACTTTGCTTAAAAGTGAATATAAAGTTTGAATGCATCAGATTGCCATCTTCCAATGTCCCAGATCTGGTGGGATGCCCATGAGAGCCACAGCTGTGGCTGTACCTATGCGAAAGGAATGCAAACCAAACTGAACTGGATCACAAGCTATGGCTAATTGGGCAGAGAACTGTCCAAACTTCAAATTGATCCTGGGAGAGGAAAAGGTGACCCACACACAGGCCGAGTGGCCAGATAGGCTGCAAGTGCTGTCACAGGGCATAAAGGTACATCATGGCAACTCTCGTTCATGACCTTGGAGCCAAAGCCTTCTGGCCCATCTTGGACTGCCTTAGGAGAATGCGTACCAACCCATCTGCGAACTGGACATTCTGGAACAACAAGGCCTGCCCTAGACATAGAAAGTAACTCGTAGGCCCAAAGCCCCACGAAAGGCAACCAATGAAAAAGCAGGAAACAGCTGTTCTTCCAAAGTGAAAGAACACAGGGACAGCAGCAACAATAGAGCATCTGGTATTATGGGCATACATTTATCTGGTCTGTTCTGCTCTTGGTCCTAAAGTGGATGGGCCATAGAAGTGGTCCTGACGTCCTTGAACTCCTGGTGATTAGGCAAATATGGCTGCCTGGTACAGGGGGCCAGAGTGGACGAAATGTCCAGTTGAGGTATCAATTGCCAAGGTTTGCTCGGCATCCTCATCAGGTTGTGCACAACACCCAGTGCCAGCTTGCGTGGCGATTCCCGCCCCCCACCAGTTGGAATAAAATAAAGACACAGGACACCAGAATTTAAGGTTAATGGGCAACAAATGGCCACAACTTTATTGGTCACAGGTTAGAGTGGTATTGGCTTTAGCCATTGGACCTATCAGACTATCCGGGATAAAACCGGAAGGGATTGAACACCAACGGGGGAGTGTTGAGGCCCGCAACCAGAGTGCTGGGGAGCGTGCAGGCCCAGGCTGTGCACCCAAAGGTGGGGGTGCTGGGAGCCCCCGAGATGCACATCTCTAGGCGCTCCCCGAGGGGGTCACCGCTCGGGAGCGTGCTTTAGGCCCTAGCCTCCATAGGTTTCGGACGAGGCAACGCCCCCCGGAATCCTTTAACGAACTACCCTTCATCATTTGGGGGAGGTGATGGCGCTCCCCCCCAACTCATCAGCATAATAATACCCCTACCAAGGCCAATGTTTTGCATACAATTTGACCCTGGATATCACTCCCAAACCATTTCCATCCTCAGCATCATATTCAACTGGAGTTCGGTTCCAACAGCAACTCCTGATGCCAGAATTCGAAGAAAGTGGGACAAGGGGCATGTGACCTTGTTCTTTTTTCGTGATCTCTTGTAGGCATTTGATGCCATTGATTATGGCATTGTCCTGGACTGTCTCTAAGGAATGGGAATTGGGAGCACTGTATTACTGTGGTTCCAATCCTATCTTTAGGACCGATGCCAGGGAGTAGCACTATGTTATGGGATGCTGCAGGGAGTAGGCAATAGAAGTTTTGGGGAGAGGTACCATCAGTATGCTGATGACACTCAGCTCTCTTTCTCCATCACATCTGAATCAGGAGAGCCTGTGCATTCTGTGAGCCATTGCCTGGACGCAGTGGTGAAATGGATGAGGAAAAACAAGTTGAGCTTGGATCTTGCAATGTCTGACAAATTGGTCAGTTGCTTGTTCTGGATAGGTTTGCACTCCCCTTGAAGGAGCGGGTTTGCCGTTTGAAGGGCTTCTGGATCCAACTTTGTTCTGGAAGGCTCAGTTGAGGACCCTCTGTCTTTTCTAGGCCTAAGTACCGTAATTTCAGGGTAATCAGGAGATGAAAAGACAGTTACAGGAAACAACAAGACATTTACACTGATCAGTCCCCAGAGCTCCAGCAGTAGGTCAGCTAGGTCATGGGCTGTTAGGGCAGACCCAGTCTGGTCCTGTTGGGCCCCAAAATCAGTCATTAATAAAGATGGAAGTGTCTTACTGGGAAGAACAATGCATAGTATGGGAAACTACATGATAGTATGTTCACTAGCAAGCTTCCTGTGAACAATTCACTGTATTCAAACACACTTCGTGGCAACTAGGATGGGGTGGGGGCTACAGCTAAGGAAAAGGGCAGAAGCACACATACATGCCCATGGCTTTCATAGCAAGTCCAACCTATTAAACAATGTGCAGTGATCCCAGGAAGCATGCCTCCCCCAAACACATGGTCAATCAAGCACTCTCACACACCGTTTTTATGCCCCCACGTGACACTGCAAGCAAACACTTGTGGCATCCTTTCTACACAGTGTTCATGGAATCTCCACTGCCAAACCCCCCACATCATCTTCCCCTGCATGCAAACAGCAGCCACACTAGGAAACTATGACACCAACACATATGTCAATTTTAAAAATAAAGCAAAAGAAGTGAGGTGAGAGCCCAAACAGGCCCAGTAGCACAGAGAGTTATGTTGGGGGGCATTCCACTGGGTAAATTAATGGAGCATCTAACCCCCTGTCTGGGTGAAAAGATGGGCTTCTGCTGGTGGAGGCAGGTTTCCACCAGCAGGTTCCTCTCTCTCTCTCTCTCTCTCTCTCTCTCTCTCTCTCTCTCTGTATCTGTCTATGTGTGAATGTCCACTGTATCCAAAACCCATGCAGCCTATAGGGATTGAAGACTTGTATTATCCAGCAAGGCACTATGGGCACCCCCAAACTCGGCCCTCCAGCTGTTTTGGGACTACAATGCCCATCATCCCTGACCACTGGGAGTTGTAGTCCCAAAACCGCTGGAGGGCCGAGTTTGGTGATGCCTGGGTGTATTTTTATCATGATGCAAACTTGAATATCAACCTATTGTACTAGAGACTTGACTTGAGGAACACTTCTCCAAAAGGTGGTCACCTTAGCACTCAGCCTCACTCTATGAGCCAGAACATGTGAGCAAAAGGGGAACTAGCATAAAGTCCCCCTTCCATGAAATCCTAGTTGATCAGTAATCTTTGGAATAAAGACACTTGTAAAGTATTCACACTATTTCCTAAATGAGAGCTATATAAAATGCATTTTTCTATTTGGGGCTTTCTTTTAGGGATAAAGATTCTTTGTGATGTGCTCTTATTGAGAGATTTCAAGAAAGCTGAATGTGTGGAAATTCTGAAGAAAGGCCATCTACTGGGCGTTGCCCCTGGTGGAGCTAGAGAAGCATATTTTAGTAAAGACTACAGTTTAATGTGGGGTAACCGCACAGGTTTCGCTCGGCTAGCTTTGGAGGCAAAAGTGGTGAGTGATCTTTGGGCAATTTGCATTGTCCTCACAATTATCCTGGATATGACGTACTGTGTTGACATCCTTGATTTAGCATCCTCCATAGCTGAGGATGGCAAATATCGTGTTTCAGGGTCAAATGATATCTGGAAAGCCATTGATTCCCCACCCCTGCTTTTTAAAAAAGCTACTGAAATCAATAACGTTTAATAAGAAAAACAACTTTTTTCTTCTTACTCTCTTCAATTCCTCAAAATCTGGGGAACAGCTTGTGAATTTTCTTCATCTGAGCTATTTGAATAGATCTGTCAGGAATTCTGAAGCCAATCACGTCTGGCTTGTCATTAATGCCAGATGTGAATCATTCCTTCTAGTCTTTAACAAAAATTAAGGTGGAACGGTTGAGGTGAAGTAATTAACTAGTTCTCACCTTTCTGTTATTGTTTTTTTCCCTATTTTATTCTTTTAGCCCATCATCCCTATATTTGCACAAAATGATTCTGAAGTGTTCAGGACCTTTGGAAAGATAAGTGAGTTAAATTTATTATGTTCCTTGGTTGTTCAAGAGATCTAATTTCAGGCAAAATACATTTTAATAACATACAATGGTGTTTTTTTAAAAAATGAATATCTATTTCCTAAGTACTCTCAAAATGCCAACTAATTTCAAATTTCATATGGGGTCGTATTCTTTCGGAATATTTTTATGGAAATTCCCCCTCCAAAAAAAATTTATAAATACATATTTGACAAATAAATAAAAATTAAAAAATATCCTTCCAGTAGCACCTTAGAGACCAACTAAGTTAATTATTGGTATGAGCTTTCGTGTGCATGCACACTTCTTCAGACAGCTGTTTCAACTACAGCAGATCAACACGGCTACCTACCTGTAACTATAGTTAACAAATAAATACTTTAATAACCTGCCTGGAAAAAAAAGAATAAAGAAAAGGGAAAAAGGAGAATGCATACATATGAACGTACATAGAATAGAAAAGGATATAAAAAAGAAAAGAAAAATAAACGAACAAAAATTAAGCAAGTTTAACTCTGTCGAAATAATAACTTAGACTGCCTTAAGACCTCTTTCCTAAAAAAATTCTATTTGATATGATTCAACCCTATAATAGTATTTCTTATATATAGTGACCTTCAGTATGGGTTGAATCTCTTTACTTATTTGTTATTGATGTTGGCTTCCTTCTGCCTCATTATGATTTCAATTCGAATTAGCTTACTTTCCCCCTTGTATTTAATATTTTATCCTCATCTTGGTATGAGGAAACAGTATGTCACTATTTGAGGAGTTATTCAAGACACAACCAAGTCTTATTAGTATAACCTTGTTTCATTAAATAATTGTTGAAACATTCCCATTCTTTTTTGACTTTGTCTGCTGATTTGTTTCTTATTGATTCCGTCATTTCCGTGAGTTCCAAGTACTCGCAGAGTTTTAACTGCCATTCCTCTCTCGATGGGATAAATTCACTCTTCCAATACTTAGCTACTAACAGTCTACATGCAGTCACTGTGTAGAGGAATATTCTCTTGCTTTCCTTTGGAATGTTATTTGTTAAGATCCCTAGTAAGAATGCTTCCGGGGGTTTTTGTAATATAAATTTTAATATTTTTGTTAATTCCTCATAGGTCGTGTCCCATATTTTTTGATTCCTGGGCACATATGGAAAAAGGTTCCCTCATATAATTTGCATCTCCAACATTTATTATCATAATTTTTAGTCATTTTGGCTAATTTTGAAGGGGTTAAATACCATCTAAATTGCATTTTCATAAACTTTTCTTTAATTAAGTAACACGCTGTGAATCTTAGATTCTTTCCCCACAGCTCTTCCCATTTTTATAATTCTATAGGATAACCCAGATCTTGCACCCACTTTAGTATCACTTCTTTTACTTCTGGAACTGCAAATCCACCTCTGTCTCTAATCTCTGTTAGTAATTTTATTCCAGGTTTTTTACCCTGCCAAATGAATTTTGCCAGATATTTTTGCCACTCTTTAAAACATTTAACTCCACTGATTATTGGTAATGTTTGGAATAGGAATGACATCTTTGGTAGCACTGTCATTTTAATTATTGACATCCTGCCCCACAGTGACAGATTTAACCTCCCCCAAATCTCCAAATCTTTTTTTTATTTCTTTCAATTTTTTTACATAATTGTAATTGAAAAGGTTTATGTTTTTTGTTGTGATCCCGATGCCTAGGTATTTCAGCTTATTTGTTATTTTTAATCCTGTTTTAGTTTACAATCCTCTTTTTTCTTCTTCACACATGTTTTTCACGAATAATTTTGTTTTGTCTTTGTTTAGTTTAAAGCTGAGACTTTCCTGAATTCATCCATTTTTGTCAGTGTTTCTAATATGCTCTCTGTTGGGTTCTCGGTGGTTATGATGATGTAATCTGCAAAGGCTTTGAGTTTATACAATCTGTTGCCCAATAAATACCTTTTATTTTTGTTTTTTTCCTTATAGCTGTTACTAATGTTTCTAATATGGTGATAAATAAAAGTGGTGAGAATGGACAGCCTTGTCTAATCCCTTATTCAATGTTAAATGTTTTCGTTAGTTCATTATTTATGATTAATTTTGCTTTCTGATTATTATATATTGCCTTGATTCTGCAATATATTTTATTTCCTAATTTCTTTGCATCAATGGTGTTCAACAAGAAATCCAATGATACATGATCAAATGCATTTTCAGCTTCCACTAACATCATTGCTGATCTTTTATTTCCACCTACCCCCAAATATTCTAATAAATTGATAATTGTTCTTGTATTGTTACCGTATATATTTGTCTTCCTGGGAGGAAGCCAGCCCGGTCTTCGTTAATTAGTCTATTTAATATCTTTTTTAATCTGTTTGCAAGTATTCCTGTAAAAATTTTGTAATCCAAATTTAGTAATGAAATTGGTCTATAGTTTTTGGTATTCATCAGATCTGCTCCTTGTTTCGGGATCAAGGTTTTTAAGGCTTCTTTCCATGACTCCGGTGTCTTCCCATTCTCTAATATATTGCTCATAATCTTTTTCAGGGTTGGAAGTATGGCCTCTTCTAGTTTTTTTTTTAATAGTAACCAATTGAAATTCCATCTGGGCCCGGAGATTCCCCAACTTTTGTTTGTTTTTCATTACTTGTAGTATTTCTTCTATTTTGATAGTTGAATTTAAATATCTATGTTCCTCTTCTAATATTACCAGTAATTTGTTTCGTTGTAGATAATCATTTATTTTATTCTCATTTTTATCTTCTGATTTGTACAGTTTTTTATAATAATTTACAAAGCACTGTTTTGTTTTTTCTGGGTCTACTATCTCTTCCCTTTGATCTATTATTTTACCTATAATTTTATTTTTTTGCCTTTTCTTTATTAACCAGGTTAACATCCTGCCGAGTTTGTTGGCCAAGTCAAAGCTTCTTTGTCTCATCCATTTGATATGGGGTCGCATTCTTTCAGAATCTTTTCTCTTTCATACACAGGGTTGGCAAGATGGATATATGAGAAAACTCGATGTTTTCTCCTTCCTATATATGGAGGGTTTCCAGTGAAATTGAGGACATATATTGGAGAACCCATCCCATATGATCCAAATATAACTGCCACAGAGCTGGCTGAAAAAGTAAGTACCAGGAAATATAAAACAGAATAATCTTTCCTATTGTTTTTTCACTTTCTCAGTTCTAAATTGTATTCTGCATACTGGCTTCTCATTCTGTATGACCCAGAGCTAGGCTTTATTATATATATTTTTGTGCATTATATTGATCACTCAGCTTTTCCTCTGCTTAACTTGTTGAGACTAATTAAATGCCCTCTGAGCTACCAACTATGAATCCCCAACACATTTTTAGATATAGAATCATAGAATCTTAGAGTTGAAAGGGACCCAAGGGTCATCTAGTCTACTCCTCTGCAATGAAGGAATATCAGCTAAAGCATCCATGACAGATGGCCATCCAGCCTCTGCTTAACCTCGTACCGACGGGACCGCCTCTCTTGGTATGCCCCACGGAGGACCTTGCGGTCTGCAAATAACAACATCCTAAAGATTCTGGGCGCCAGGGAGATCAGACTGGCCTCGACCAGAGCCAGGGCGTTTTTGGCTGTGGCCCCGGCCTTGTGGAACGCTCTCTCACGAGTGACTAGGGCCCTGCGGGATTTGACATCTTTCTGCAGGGCCTGCAAGATGGAGCTGTTCTGCCAGGCCTTTGGTCAGGGTTCCGTCTGACTCATTTTCTCCTTGTATAAGAACAAGCATGAAAAATAAAGAAAAAGAGATAAAGGGAATTACATTAGGCAAGGATGTTTTCAAAATTAGAACTTTTGCGGATGATATTATATTAACAACTGAGGAGTCAGAGAGCAGTTTAATGAAAGCATTGAGGATAATGAATGAGTTCGGGAAAGTAGCAGGCTTCAAGATAAATATGTCAAAAACAAAACTTATGGTAAAAAACATACAGGAATTAGAAAAGAACAAATTACAGAAGAAATTAGGTTTGGAAATTGTTACAAAACAAAAGCAAAACATTTAGGTATAGAATTGCTGATGAAAAATATTAATCTATTTGGAAACAATTATGAAAAAGCCTGGAAGGAAATTAGAAGAGATCTAGAAACCTGGAGTAGATTAAAGCTGACATTAATGGGGAGAATATCTATAATTAAGATGAATGATTTACCCAAAATGATATATATGTTCCAAACAATACCAATAATAATTAAAGAAAATTGTTTTGATGAATGGAGAAAATATCTAACAAAATTAATATGGCAAACCGAAAAACCACGCATAAAGTATAAACTATTAACAGATAAAAGGGATAGAGGAGGACTGGCATTACCGAATTTAAAATTATACTATGAAGCAGAATGTCTGGCGTGGCTAAAAGAATGGATTATATTGGAAAACACTAGTATTATAAATCTAGAAGGTTTTGACAATAGGTATGGATGGCACGCCTACCTAGCGTACAAGAAGGTTAAGGTACATAATGGCTTCAAAAATCATATACTCAGAAATTTATTGTTGAAAGTTTGGAATAAATATAATCAGCTATTAGAGCCACAAGTCCCTTTATGGATATCTCCATTAGAAGCCCATGCAGTTAAAAAACTCAATATGAATCCGAACTGGGCAACATATAGACAAATACTGGAAGAAGACCAAGGAAAGTTAAAATTAAAAACATATGAAGAATTAAAACAATATGGGATGGATAATTGGCAATATATACAATTAAAAAGTGTGTTTAAGGCAGATCAAAGAAAAGGTTTCACCAAAGAACAATTGCTTTTTAGCACCATTATATTACAAAACAATAGGAAATTATTATTGAAAATTTACACTCTATTATTGGACTATGATTTGATGGATGAAGAGGTAAAAGAAACAATGGCCAAATGGGCAAAAGATATCGGCCACACTATATATTTAGAACAATGGGAGAAACTCTGGTGCGAGAATATCCGCTTTACCACCTGCTATACGATAAAGGGGACGCGGGTGGCGCTGTGGGTAAAAGCCTCAGCGCCTAGGACTTGCCGATCGAAAGGTCGGCGGTTCGAATCCCCGCGGCGGGGTGCGCTCCCATCGCTCGGTCCCAGCGCCTGCCAACCTAGCAGTTCGAAAGCACCCCCGGGTGCAAGTAGATAAATAGGGACCGCTTACTAGCGGGAAGGTAAATGGCGTTCCGTGTGCTGCGCTGGCTCGCCAGATGCAGCTTGTCACGCTGGCCACGTGACCCAGAAGTGTCTGCGGACAGCGCTGGCTCCTGGCCTATAGAGTGAGATGAGTGCACAACCCTAGAGTCTTTCAAGACTGGCCTTTATACGATAAAGGAAAATTTTGTTTAAATGTTTTACAGGTGGTATTTAATTTATAATTAAAATCCAACCTTTGTTGGAAATGTAACAAAGAACCTGGAACGATAATTCATATGTGGTGAGGTTGCAAGGAAATAAAGAAGTTTTGGGGACTAATACATGAGGAACTTAAGGAAATGCTTAAAAAACCCTTGATAAAAAATCCTGAAGCTTATCTGTTAGGGTTGGTGGGCAAAGACATACCACATATGAAAAAAAATAAATTCTATGCAGCAACAGCTGCCAGGGTAGTGATTGCCACTAAATGGAAATCTCAGGACACACCAACAAAGGAAGAGTGGATTTGTAAATTAAGTGAGTATATAGAATTGGCAAAATTAACTTCAATTATAAGATATCATTCAAATCAAAAGTTAAGAATGGAGTGGAAGTATTTTGAAGATTATATGTCAAAATATTGTTCTAAAAATGACATGCTAATAGGCTTAGAATAAAAAATGTAAGCAATAACAATACCAATAAAGAAAGAAGGAAAAATCAGAATTTAACAAAAATAATTTATTATACAATGCAAGGGAAAAAAGGTAGAAAGAAATATAAAGAAGTGGAATTGCTGTGGAGGGAAGTAGAGGGTGGGTGGTGGGTTTTATAATTAAGTGTATAATTATGCAGCTGTTGTAATTTAGATATTATATTTTATGTGAGGGAATCATTGGGAATTTTGGTTATTATGTGTATATGTTACATTTCAATAAAGATCTTGGGGGGGGGGGGGAAGCATGAAGGAGGTTCCCAGCCCGCTCAAAGGTGCTTATAATATCAGTGGAAGCAGTTGGTAACCGCTTTCAAATCTACCCTGAAGATTGCCACTTGTCCAGTTTTAATTTTAATTTGTTTGAATTAAATGTGGGATGTATCTTAATTTATTGATCACTTGGTTTTATGCATATTGTCTTATATGATGTGAGCCGCTCTGAGCCCAGCTTTGGCCAGGGTTGGCAGGATACAAATAAATTATTATTATTGTTATTATTATTAAACACCTTCACAACCTCTCAGGGGAGACTGTTGAACTGTCAAAACAGCTCTCACTGTCACAAAGCTCTTCCTGATGTTGAGGTGGAATTTCTTTTCTTGCAACTTGAAGAGTGGCCCTGGAAACCCTTTCAGATGGGTGGAGTATAAATTTTAAAAATGATGATAATGGTGATTATAAGGCATTCGTTTGCGTCCTACCCTGCAGAGCAGGAGAAAATAAGCTTACTCCATCTTCCATGTGACAACCCTTAAGATATTTGAAATGACTGTCATAACTCTTCTCAGTCCCCTCTTTTTCAGGCTGAAAATACCCAGCTTCTTTCACTGTGGCTCATAAGGTTTCCTTTCCAGACCCTTAATATTCATGGTTGCTCTCATCTCCCCCAAGAACTTTCTGCTTCCATTCTTGCTTCACCCTCACCTTCCCCACATCTAGTTCCGACTTTTGGTTGCTTGTTTGAAGGGGCGGAGAAGTAATTTATTTTTGCAGGTGTGTGGGGGTTGATTCCTTGGTTGTCCTGTGGTTCCTTCCTTTTATTTCACATTGTTGGGATGCAATCATTGTCAATTGACAGTGGTGTGGTTTGTTTGCTCCTACCGCGTTAAATCTGTACAGATGAGAAAGTTGTGGAGAGAAAGATTAGCTTTACTGAGGCATTATTGTATTAAGGGTGCCCTTTAGGGACCTGCCAAGACAGTATGCCTGGTAGGACTTACATAGTTCCTCTTAGGCCTGGTACATGCATTTTGGCTGAACACTGCAAAGTAGGGTCTGGGTGAGCATTATGGGTTCATGCTCAAGGTTCAATATGCAAGAAGACAGTAATTTCCTCCCTATCCTTTGCTAGGGAGCCAGCTGCATATGCCTTAGGATCTGGAGAGATGGTTTCCTACTACAATTAGCTAAAAATCCTTATCTGCCTTTACTTCTGATCCCAGTAATAAATTCCATATTGTGCTTCTTTAGCTGGAAAAAGTGGGATTTTTAAAATGCTACTGGGTCTGACTCCTTTAGCTTTTTCCTATTCCTTTAGCTATAACATAATGTATTCCTTTGTTTTTGTTTTTTCAACAGACCAAGACTGCATTTGAAAATCTTCGGGATAGACACCAGAAAATGCCAGGAAGTATATTAAGAGCTCTTTCAGAACGATTTGATAAGGGTGACAAAGCTAACTAGTCCATATAAAACAAACCATAGTTCTGTAATAGGGAAATTTAATAACTATGTAATTAAAACCAAATAAACATACAGAGAATTGTACTGGATTGTATATGACTTATTTGGAAAGATTGCTAGCTCAGTAGCTCAGCACCTCCTGTCTATGCAGAAGTTTTCGAAGAGGTGCAAGTCCTTTCTTGCCCTATCCTGCAAGACTCCCAGAATGCCCCTTTTTGCGGACTTACACCGCTAGAGTCAGAATCAAAGTGTGTAATGGGAGGGTGGGTGTTTAACTGAAACATGAAATAATGTTACACTTGAAAGAGTAATCCCTATAAATCAGCTCCATTAAAACAGTGACAATTCTTTTATATTTGGAAAAGGCATTTTCTGCTAGTTATCCATTTTTATTTCCAAAAATGACTTTTTGCCAGGTTGCTAATTCCATGAGTGAGTGAATTCAGCAATGGAGTCTGGATTCCAACCATCCCCCAAGTTTCCCCATGGCCATATACTCCCAATTTTAGACCGTTTTACGGAAAAATCCGAGGGCTCCCTTGGACAAAAACAGACACCAACCAGGATAACTTGGAGCAAAACAGCAGCCTGTAGGCTTGGCCTTTATTGAACTGTTGCAACAGGGTGCTCCCCTCACTTGCAGGAGAGAGGAAGGACCCAGAAAAATGGTGTGCAAGGTCTTATAAAGGCTTTTGAAATTGCCACCCTGTAGATCAAGACCACCCCCAGAAACATCATACATACATCACAGAAAGGAGGGGTTGAGGGAGGGGTTGTGGTGGTAACCTGAGTGTCCTGTCACCTGGCTGGTTCTCCCTTTCCCCCTCCCCATGAGCACTTTCCAGGTGACAGAGGGGAGTTTGCAGTTTCCTGCCCCCAGAGGGAAGAGCTGATTATTGTCCTTTGTTCCAGTCTGTGTTGAATCCACTCCCATATCAAGTTCTTTGTGATCTTGATGGTCTTCTGTCTAGGACCATCAGGGTTGGCATAGCAACTGGGCAGGGCTCCTGTGTATGTGCTGGTATGCTTAAGGGATTATGGTGGCCTGTATCAAACCTTCCCCATTTTGTAGTCCTTCCTTCATGGAGTAAAATAAAAGTGGAACAGTGCAAATCCGATGTATGGTTGCTTTTCTATGAATTTATAACAGAAGCATAGCGTATGTAGTGTGTGAGTGTGAGTGTGTGTGGAGTTTGTACAAACTGAATGATTTGGGGGGGGGGGGTGTTTCCTGCAACAGTTGCCACTACAATATGTCTCTTAGTTTTTCTGGGACATCTTCAAGTCACACCAGGGTGCCATGGCCTTACACATTCACAGTGCTGACTTCTGCTATTTACTCACATGTAAGCCTAGGCAATGTACCAATACATCGCCCGGGTCCGGTATGAGGGGCAGACTATGATGACAGTTTCACTCAGCGGTATATTGCTGGTGAAACCGCCACATTCTGAGTCCCTCTGCTACCAGCGCCAAGGGAGAAACAAGCTGCAGCCGGGTGCTGGAGGCAGAGGGACTCAGAAGGATGAGTGAAACCTCATTGTCTGCTCTCATACTGGCCAAGGGAGAAACAAGCTGCATAGGTGAAACAGTTGCTCCTTCCTCTGCCTCTTTAAACTCCTTGGCTGAGACTGTTGCCTTCACCTCACCCAAGCAGTTTTACACAGCCCCCAACCCACCACTGATTGCAGGAGCTGAGCCAGCAGCGGGGTGGGGGCTCCATTAAGGTGCTCCCCCTTCCCAGCTGAGAAGGTGTCAAAGTGGGTTTATCACCAAACCTCGATGTTCAAAACCCAACACCACCCAGCCCTACTCAGGAGCAAGTCCTCCTGTGCAAAAGGAAGCTTACTCCCAGGTAAATGTGTAGGAGGTTTAAAAGCCTCATTTTTTCTTGAGGGCACAGAAATTAATAGCTTGGTTTGTATATCACATTAAACCATAAAAACAAATTATAGGGCAATAGCATGCAGCAGGTATTGAAAGTCCAATTTGTCATGTTATCTGAACCTGGGCTAGCGGTTTCTTTCATGCCAATAGTTTGGCATGAATGTTTATGCACATTGGGCCAATGTAAGTCGCTTAGGCTTGCTTTGGGCAAGATAAAGCAACTAACAAATCTAACAAACAAACAAACAAACAAATGTAAATAAACGGTAATAAATAAATAAATGGTACTTACTAAGGGAGAGATTTGGATCACAAATGAACCCGCCCTGCCCGTTCTTGGGGCTGGAGTATCTGCTGGAGGGGACATTTCCTAGTTGCAGATATCCACCTTATCTTCCTTCAAGATCCTCAGAGTATTAGCACCATTATACAGATGGTTGACATGGCCAGGAGTGCCCTATCTTGACCGCTTGGTTACATTTATGCCAATGAGGCCAGCAGCACCCAAGCAGCAAAGAGCTTACTTTTCTATGGGTGGGCCAAGTGCCTCTGGTTCCTCAGCACCACCCAGCAGAAGTCGCCCCAATGGGGTATTCTGGGGGAGGCCTGAAGTGGAGGCTCTTCACAACAGGAAAAGCACTGCTAGGGAGGAGTAGCACTGGTGTTAAAAGGAGCTTCACAGTCTTTCGGATGAGTCTGCGGTTGCAGGTAAGGCTGCCTCAAGCTGTTTGCGCCTACATACTTAAGCATACTTAAGAACATTAGAACATTTAAGCATACTTAAGAACATTAGAACATTAAGAACATTAGAACTTTTACAAAACTAACCAGGGATGTTTGTTGAGATTCCTGCATTGCAAGGGGTTAACTAGACGACCCCTGGGTCCCCTCTGAACTCTAAACTTTAGGATTCTATGAACAAAAGTTTTTACTTATATTCCTGGTAAGCCTAAATTGCCTTTAATTCAGTCACCTCTCTGGAGAAGCACCTGAAATCCTGTCTGCTGCATTTTTCGATGTCTAATTTCCAGCCGTATGTAGTGGTGTCAAGAAACTGTGAAAGGTGTGCCATCTGTATAAAGAAACTAAGCATTGTGAAAAAGGCTTAGGGCACCGGCTGCTTGGAAGTTGTGGCCATTTGTAATCAAACATGAAATATGGAGTCACACCTACAATAGCATTCATATGGCACAATAACATATTGGGTCACAGAGTAAAGGTAGCTATCTCCCATCCTGCCATGCTGATTTTAAACCCTGCCATGCTGATTTTACTGCAGGCAGCTGGTTGAAAAGCTTCTTCAGGAGTTGCCCCTGCAGTATGCATTGCTTGATCTGGAGCAAAAACATTCCAGGTTGACATGCTTTGACATCAAAGGGTCTCTGGTATTCGGTACATGTCCAGTATTGTCAGGTGGAGGCGAAGGAAGTCCAGCATGCATTTGTCAGTTGTCAGAGCAATGTTTGCATACACATATGATGGTCTGTTTTACTCTCTTTTCGAGAGGAGAGGCATTCCTTGTAACAGAGAAGTGGTATTTTTCCTGCATTAAGCATGTTTTTCAACAGGGGAGAAATAATGTGATGCAGTCACGGACACATCAAAAAGAAATATCCATGCGAAAAGGCAAACAGAACCAAAAAACAAAAAACACCACATGTTTCTGATCTTCCCTAATGGATTTCTGCCTTCCCACTCCCTTGCAGAGACGTGAACAAGGCATCTTCTGTCTCTTGTGTTGGGCCTGTCTGGTGCACTTTTTTGTAGACTAATTTCCAGCTGTATTGAGAAACATCTCTTTACATGGTGGTTTCAAGAAACTGTGATAGGTGTGCCATCTGTATGAAGAGACCAAGCACTGTGAAAAAGAGAGGCGGCTTGGTGAGCCAGTGGCTTGGAAGTTGTGGTCATCTGTAATCAAACATGAAATATGGAGTCACACCTACAATAGCATTCCTATGGCACAATAATATATTGGGACACAGAGTAAAGATAGAAATTGTGACAAGTGCGTTTGCTCCCTTTGATGGTAGCTTCTCTCCAAGCCAGGTAAAATATGTATGTTGTGTAATACATAACCTTCATAACACGTTCTGTTACAATATTGAATCCTAGTGCATAAGTAAAAGCTCTTCCATTGGCACTTGTCTCTTTAATTCTACAGCAAATGAGGATTTCATTAACACCTTCTGGGTTTGAATACCAAATCTTAAGTAATCATCCTCAGAAATCAAGTCTACTCCAATAAACTTGACCAGTCACTTGTTCTCCAGGCATTTTCTGAGATCTCCAATACCATCTTTTTGATCACTGAAATTAAATTCTGCCATGCCGATTTTACTGCAGGCAGCTGGTTGTTTGATCAGGAGCAAAAAAGTTCCAGGTTGACATGCTTTGACATCAAAGGATCACAGAGACATTAAAAACAAATATCCATGGGAAGTAAAAGGCAAATAGAACCAAAAAACAAAAAAAACCCCATAGGTTTCTGATCTTCCCTAGTCACTTCATGAATCACTTGAAGAAGAGTTAAAACCAATTAAAACTCATTAAAACCGCTTCAAATCTACTAAAAGGCAGATAAAAACCACAGGCCTTCGAGAGAGATGTTGCCTTGCAAGCTGCTGAGTCCCTTCCAGGCACTGTCCTACTTCATCACCTGACACTCCTGAGAATATGAGAGAGCCCTGTTTGCTTCAGTGTTGAGGATGACACTTAAGAGCCAACCTGTCAAGTGCCTACCTTAATTCCCAATTCTATATCAAGACTTTGACAGAAGTGGTGAGCATGCCAACTTGAAAATTCCTGAGAGTATTCAGGAATCCATCAGATACCATAAGTCTCTGGGAACTGACCGCCTTAATGGATCCCCCAGCCTAATAGGGGGGCACTGCATCATCACTTCAAATTTCACCATTGTATTATCCATCTCAGACAATGGGCTCAGCACAAACCTCCCTACCAATGAATTTCTGTCTTCCCACTCCCTTGGAAAGACCTGAACTAGGGTATGTTCTGTCACTTCTGTTGGGCCTTTAATTTACTGAGTCTCATGGTTGCCACACAGGCCGTGAAGTCTGAGCTGACCCAGGACCTACAGGTTACCTCCCTCC